GTATATTGACTCATGTTTTTCACTTGGCTTCCAAGTACTCCTTACCAGAACCATTTAGATTTTCCTCTTATCTTCTTTGTCTAAAGTTGAAATACGGTAGTGTTCCAGGACTTCACCCTTAAAATAAGTCTCTATACTCTCACATAAGGTGATTTCATTCAAGACTGTAATTTATTTCTATCTCAGGGCTTTTGTACCAATAGTTTCCTCTGCTTAGACACCTATCCCAGATCTTTGCAGAACTTTTTACTTCTCATGATTCACTTCATTTCCCATATTTATATTTCCACCTAATATGTCCAAACCAAAACACATTTCCTGTTCTTCCCTATTAAATTGATGGCATCATTATTCATCCAGTTTATCAAACTAAATCAAACATAAACTAAAGTTTATCAAATTAAGACATAGGTATCATCTTGTATTATTGATCCCATTTATCCCTCAAGTCAAATCCATAAACTAGTATTATTAGCTCCAGATAACTCCATGATATATGCAGAAACTGACCTTTCCTCTCAATTCCCATTCTATGATAGGCAAAATTCTAGGATGGACCATAAGATCCCTTCCTCTAGTATATACATGTCTTGCTTAATTCCCAGGACAGTGAGTATGATGAACTTTACTTCTATTAATAATGGTTTATGTTATATGGCACAGTTGATCTTAAAATAAGAAAATTATCCAGGTGGGCCTGACTCAATTATTTGGCACTCTAAAAGCAAAGAGTTTTCTCTAGCTGGTCACAGAAGAGAAGTCAGAGACTTGAAGCATGAGAAGGTTTTACTGACTTAAAGATGGGGGCAGTTTTGTGTTAAGGAATGTGGGCAGCCTCTAGAAGCTGAGCGGAACCTCTGGCTGAGATCCAGCAACTAAATGTGGTCCAAGTCCTATAATTACATTGAACTGAATTCTGCTAACAATTGTAATGTGCTTAGAAGCAGATTCTTCCCTAGAGTCTTAGAGATAAGAACTCAGTCAAGTTCTTGATACCTTTGAGACACTGAGCAGAGAATCCAGCCACAGCTGTGCATGAACTTATAGCCTACAGAACAGTTTGATAACAAGAGGTACTGTTTTAAGTCACTAAGTTTGTGGTAACTTATTATGTAACAATAGAAAACCCATGCACATTCTAAAACCCTAATCCAAAATAGACTAGGGGCACCTGGCTGGCTCATTCAGTATAGCATGTTACTCTTGATCTCAGGGTCATGAGTGTAGGTCCCACAATGTTTATAGGGCTTACTTAAAAAAAAGAATACCATAGTCTATAGCCTGTAATATAGAGAAAAATCTAATTGTATTTACTTCCTCTTTCTATCCATATTTTCCTATACTTAATGCTTAGTATATAATAGCAAGGATAATCTTTTGTTTTTTTAAGGCTTCTTTTCAAAACATAAAAAACATCATTTCACTCACTTGTTTAAGACTTTCCATTGCCTTGGCCATTACTTAGGATAAGTTCCAAAATCCTTAAGATGCAATTTGGTGTAGCTGTCACCTAACTTTCCACTTGAACTCCTATCTCTTACCAGTTATGCATTTCTCAAACATGCTAAACTCATTCCAAGCTCAAAAGTTTTGTAGATGCTCTTATTTCTATCTGAAATATTTAGTCATCTTCAGGCCAAATGCCACTTTCTCTTACAACTACCCTGCCTATATTCCATCTGCTTATTTTGCCTTATGTTTTATGGCATATTTTATTATCTAATTAAATGTTATTTATTTATGTGTTTATTTATTGTTTGTCTCCCTTCCAAGACTACAAACTAAATATGGTCAGCCTTTTTTGGTCTTGTTGGTAGACAAATCTGTGCCTTGTATAGAGGTGTTGAGTGCATTAATGAAGACTAGTGCCTCAGAGGAAACCTCTTTCCTCCCTTAAATCAGTACCTAGTTCCCTAAATTTTCAATACCAATTAGCAGTTAACTTTCAAAAGTTTCTCCCTATAACAGATATCATCCCAATGCTTTCATTCTGTAGGAATGAAAGGAAGCCCAAGAAGTTTTAAAATGATGCTACGTCTTGGACTTGTTTTGTATGACTGTGTTCAGGGTCACAAAACAGGGTCAGGAAGAGGATTTCTGAGTGTAATTTGATTTACATCATAGTTCTCTTATTTTCCCTAACCAGAGGAATACAATCAGTAATCAGTAACTAATGTGTTTTTTTGTTTGTTTGTTTGTGTTTTCTTTTTGGTTAGTATCAGAGCATTTTATTTGGCAGAAATTCTTTCTTAATCCTAGCATGTAGTTGTTCTTTTTACTGCTTTCTTGACATGTTGATTAGGATATTTTCTCACTTGATTGGATATTTTAATAATATTACTTATAATATAATCTTGACCTATAACAAAACTTCAGATTTTCCAAAAAATTCTCTAGCGATGGAGGTTATTTTGGAAGGTAGTTATTTCCCATCATAGGAAGGTATTCAGGTGTAGAGTAAATAATCACATGGTAAGTAAGGAGAAAGAATTCAAATTTAAATTTCTTTCCAGTGTACCAGAATTCATTGTTTATGCACCACACCCAGTGCTCCATACAATACATGCCCTCCTTAATACCCATCACTAGGCTTACCCAACCCCCATCTGTCTCCCCTCCAAAACCTTTGGTTTGTTTCTCAGAGTCCATAGTCTCTCATGCTTCATCTCCCCCTCCAATTTACCCCAATTCACTTTTCCTTTCCTTCTCCTAATGTCCTCCATGTTTTTCTTTATGCTCTACGAGTAAGTGAAACCATATGATAATTGACTTTCTCTGCTTGATTTATTTCATGCAGCATAATCTCCTCCCATCCATGTTGATACAAAAATTGGGTATTCATCCTTTCTGATGGAGGCATTATATTCCATTATATATATGGACCATATCTTTTTTATTCATTCGTCCACTGAAGGGCATCTAGGTTCTTTCCATGGTTTGGTGATTGTGGCCATTGCTGCTATGAACATTGGGGTACATATGGCCCTTCTTTTCACTACATCTGTATCTTTGGGGTAAATACCCAGTAGTGCAATTGCAGGGTCATAGGGTAGCTCTATTTTTAATTTCTTAAGGAATCTCCACACTGTTTTGCAAAGTGGCTGCACCAACTTTCATGTTCACCAACAGTGTAAGAAGCTTCCCCTTTCTCCACATCCTTTCCAACACTTGTTGTTTACTGTCTTGTTAATTTTTGCCATTCTAACTGGTGTAATGTGGTATCTCAATGAGGTTTTAATTTGAATTTCCCTGATGACTAGTGATGATGAACATTTTTTCATGTGTCTGTTAGCCATTTGTATATCTTCTTTGGAGAAGTGTCTGTTCATATCTTCTGCCCATTTTTTCACGTGATTATCTATTTTTTGGGTGTTGAATTTGAGGAGTTCTTTATAGATCTTGGATACAAGCCCTTTGTCTCTAGTGTCATTTGTGAATATCTTCTCCCATTCCCTGGGTTGCCTCTTTGTTTTCTTGACTGTTTCCTTTGTTGTGCAGAAGCTTTCTATTTTGATCAAGTCCCAAAAGTTCATTTTTGCTTTTGTTTCCTTTGCTTTTGGAGACACGTCTTGAAAGAAGTTGCTGTATCCGGTGTCAAAAAGGTTACTGCCTATGTTATCCTCTAAGATTTTGATAGATTCATGCCTCATGTTGAGCTCTTTCATCCATTTTGGTTTCAACTGATTCAGAAAAAAACATTTGACAAATACAGCATCTGTTCCTGATTAAAATTCTTCAGAGTATAGGGATAGAAGGAACATTCCTTAACTTCATAAAATCTATCTATGAAAAACCCACAGAGAATATAATTTTCAATTGGGAAAAGCTGACAGCCTCCCCTTTGAGATCAGGAACACGACAAGAATGCCCACTCTCACCACTGTTGTTTAATATAGTACTAGAAGTCCTAGCAACAGCAATCAGACAATGAAAAGAAATACAAGGTATTCAAATTGGCAAAGAAGAAGTCAAACTCTCTCTCTTCACCAATGGCATGAAACTTTTTATGAAAAACCCAAGACTTCACCCCCAAACTACTAGAACTCGTACAGCAATTCAGTAATGTGGCAGGATACAGAATCAATATACAGAAATCAGTTGCTTTCTTATACACTAGCAATGAAAATATAGAAAGGGAAATTAGAGAATCGATTCCATTTACTATAGCACCAAGAACCATAAGATACCTTGGAATAAACCTAAGCAAAGAGGTAAAGGATCTGTACTCGAGAAACTACAGAACACTCATGAAAGAAATTGAAGAAGACACAAAAAGATGGAAGACCATTCCATGCTCATGGATCAGAAGAATAAACATTGTTAAAATGTCTATACTTCCCAGAGCAATCTATACTTTCAATGCCATCCCGATCAAAATTCTACCAGCATTTTTCAAACTGCTGGAACAAATAATCCCAAAATTTGTATGGAACTAGAAAAGACCTCAAATCACTAAGGAAATGTTGAAAAAGAAAAACAAAGCTGGGGGCATCACGTTGCCTGATTTCAAGCTTTACTACAAAGCTGTGGCCACCAAGACAGCATGGTACTGGCACAAAAACAGATACATGGACTGGCACAAAAACAGATACATAGAGAGCCCAGATATGGACCCTCAACTCTATGGTCAAATAATCTTCGACAAGGCAGGAAAAAATATGCAGTGGAAAAAAGACAGTCTCTTCAATAAATGGTGCTGGGAAAATTGGACAGCTATGTATAGAATGAAACTCGACCATTCACTTACACCATTCACAAAGTTAAAATTCTTTAAGGAAGTAATCCTTGGCTAATTTGTATGTTAAATCAATATGCCCAAAATATGACTTTTTTCATTATAGAATTGAAACTATTTCAATTTAAAATCTTTAGTATCTTACATTTAATTCTTTTACAGTGCACAGAGACATTTAGAAGAATATTTTGAAAGTTAGGAAAACTTAACCTTGAAAAATTCCCAATTTATTTTTATATTCTTTTTAAAATTTAAAACAACTTACCCTGGTGCATAGTTGCATATGAAAATTACTGCATATCTAATACGTCCAACTCTTGTACATGAAGTAGCAGCACAACCGACTTTGTAAGATAAGTCCCAAACAAGCTAAAATAAAATTTTCAAAGGAAACAAAATTTGATTCTAAACATTTACTGACATGTTATAAACAATAATATATTCAATTCACAAGGAACTGTTAACCAAGCAATTTAAGGAATATGAAGTATTCTCTATTTGGATGCAGGTGGAGAATTATCATAGATTTAGGGAAGCATTTCCCAAGCTCTATTTAGAGAAACCTTTAGCAGGTTCTGCCTTAGGATAAAGAGTTTGAGGAACACTGATCCAGAGAGTTTTACACCTTCAATCAATTTTCACACTCCTGTTGAATCTGAGAGTTCTAGGTTATTGACAGAGAGGAACAAGGAAAAGAGGTTTTGGAATACTGGAAGTTGTGACTAGAAAGGAGAAAAATGACATCAAGATTATAGAAAGGAAGGGAAAGTAATATAAGAGTAGAGGGTAACTGAATGCAGTCAGCATTTCTCTTCTTTTGTTGAGAAAATTTCATTATAAAATAAAATAGAGTCTGGACCTGCAATTTAAAAAAAATGTATAAAAGAGCTGGTTTCTATAAAAAGAAAAACAGATCTTGAATTGGAGTGACAATATGAGAATGATTGAAGATATTCCAGAAATTCTCTGTAGGGCTTTAGTATTTCAAATACTTCCACATAACAAAAAAAGTACTTGTTTTGTCTGTTAACATCTGTGGAAGAGAGAAACAGTTTCTGGTTTCCTTTTCTCTTTATCCCAAGCTTTAGAGGTTTTAAAAAATGAGAATTAAAAAATAAAGAATAAAGAAAAAATAAAAGAATAAAGAATAAAAAAATGAGAATTTAAAAAAATAGAATTTAAAAAATTCTTATGGTTTCACTTACTTGTGGAGCATAAGGAATACCACGGAGGACATTGGGAGTTGGAGAGGAGAAGTGAGTTGGGGGGAAATCAGAGAGGGAGATGAACCATGAGAGACTGTGGACTCTGAGAAACAAACCAAGGGTTTTAGAGGGGAGGGAGTGCGGGGGTTGAGTGAGCCTGGTGGTGGGTATTAAGGAGGGTACGTATTGCATGGAGCACTGGGTATGGTGCATAAACAATGAATCTTGGAACACTGAAAAAAATTAAATTAAAAAAAGCGATTCTTAAAGAAACAAAGTAATATATTAAAAGAATAGAGAAGAGAATGTCAGCAGTAGTTGAAATGGAGTTAAGCAGGTCAAAAACAGGAAAAAAAATCTCTAGGATACCAGAATTAAAGAGGAAAAAATAACAGGAGAAGATCATGGAGTAGACTTGGTTAATTTACTGGGATTATTAAAATCGTTTATTAAGGAGTCTGACCTTGATATGAGCAAAACAATGGAGAACCACTGTAACTTTACCGAAGAAAGAATGGATCAAACAACTTTGAAACATGATTCATTCGATGGAACTTAGATACGAATTTAACATGACAAAATCATAGGATTTTAAGTTCTGCATAAAACATGACATCATAGTCTATTGATTGAAAAATAATCAGCTCCTTTTTTTTTTTTTTTGAAAAATAATAATCTTTTAAACCAGCTTGGAAGTTAATCCGATTATTTCTTGATTCCTGATACAAATATTTATGGAAAACCAAAATAATGTTATGTTCTTGTTGTGTTGAGAATGTATGGATAAGATAACTCTCTGTACTCAGTGTAGTATATAGATTATAAATAATGTGACAGTGAAATAATAAGTATATATAGAGGAAATAACAAGTGGTTCAGTATTGCTGGAGTATAAAGTGTTAAGGTGGATTGTTAGACAAGACAGGAAAATAATGCTATTAATTTGCACTTAAAATGTTTTAATCAATCAGCTATATAGTAGTATGTGTACAGATCTGTGCAAAAAATATGAAGTTCTTTACTTATGTTTATAGTCAATAATTTAAAAATAATTTTTATTTGTTAGTTTCTTTCTTTTCCAGAGTGTATTACTTTTAGAAAAGTACCTTTCATTTTTGGGTATGGAAATGAGATTTACTACATTTAAAGGAATGTTTTAACTGTATGGTTCACATAATAGATGCAATCACAGACATTTTAAAGATCCAGGACTGATTAGAATTTTGATTCTATTAGAAGTAGTAACTTTACCATTTGAGGTTATTTATAAAATTGAAACATAATCAAAACTTCGTAGAAAGCAATTAAGGAGTCTATTGAATTAATATAAAAATTAGATACCTGTTTATAATTAGAACAGTCACTAGAGCAACTGTCATTTTCAAAATTGTACATTTTCCTCTCTTCATACCAACTTCTGATAGCAATACTTGCAGTGAATTCATTTTCAGGTCCAACCCATATATTTTCACCAATACCATTAAATACAGGATGGGCCATGTTTAGTTCTTCTAAATGATTATTATGTTCAAGGACACATTTTTTCCCCCATGCTCTAGCAGTCCGTGACAAAGCTACATCCCAAGTCTGAAAAAAATGCAAAAAGCAAAGAAAAAATAATAATAATGAGCATTTTGTTTCTTGTTCTCTAAATTACTTTCCTTGAGTTCTCATATTCTGTGTAAGGAAAACAATTCAAACTTTTTGCTTATGAGCTTGTTGGTAGAATTTCTATTGGGGAAAATGTTCTTGAGTTAATCATAAATGAAATAACTATTTCCTGAGGCAAAGGACTATCTATATAATTATAATTTAAAAATCACATTGTTAGATGATGCAAATGGTTATATACTCTAACATGTATTCTGTTCAGAATATATACTTTTAATTTCATTCCTTTTCTACATAATAATAATACAATAATTTAAAGTATTCATCTAAGAACTATTTATTGAATACGGAGCATATGCAAACTATTGTAATGCAGGGAATAAAATACAAAGTCAGGCATAAATTTTGTCTTCTATATTTTATAAATATAAAATTTTAACACGGGGGGGAGGAGTCTAGATGGCGGAGAAGTAGCAGCTGAGACTACTTCAGGTAGTGGGAGATCAGCTAGATAGCTTATCTAAAGATTGCAAACACCTACAAATCCAACGGGAGATCGAAGAGAAGAAGAACAGCAATTCCAGAAACAGAAAATCAACCACTTTCTGAAAGGTAGGACTGGCGGAGAAGTGAATCCAAAGTGACGGGAAGATAGACTGCGGGGGGAGGGGCCGGCTCCTGGCAAGCGGCAGAGCAACGGAGCACAAAATCGGGACTTTTAAAAGTCTGTTCCGCTGAGGGACATCGCTCCAGAGGCTTAACCGGGGAGAAGCCCACGCGGGGCCAGTGTGGCCTCAGGTCCCGCAGGGTCACAGAAGGATCGGGGGTGTCTGAGTGTGGCAGAGCTTACAGGTATTAGAACAGGGAAGCCGGCTACAGAGACAGAGACGAGGAGTGAGCTCTAAACTCGGGGTTACCTTGAACCAGTCGCAGGCTCGGTCAGCTCGGAGCGCAGCCAGAGGCCAGGGTGACGGGAATAATTGGGCGCTGTTCTCTGAGGGTGCACTGAGGAGTGGGGCCCCGGGCTCTCGGCTCCTCCGGGCCGGAGACTGGGAGGCCGCCATCTTCATTCCCGTCCTCCGGAACTCTACGGAGATCCCTCAGGGAACAGGAACTCCCGAAAGCAAACCTGAGAGAATTACTCAGCCCGGCCCCTGGTAAGGGCGGTGCAACTCCGCCTGGGGCAAAGACACTTGAGAATCACTATAACAGGCCCCTCCCCGAGAAGATCAACAAGAAACCCAGCCAGGACCA